GAAATCTGTGCGGTGAGAAGCGGGGCAGAGGCGGAGGGGGGGACAGGGCGTTAGGGGGGGGGGGGGGCTGGGGGGGATCCCGAGCCTTGGGGGGGGGGGGGGGGGGGGGGGGGGCGAGGCAAAAACAAGGAGAGCCGATGGGGAAAGGGGGGTTAAACGGATCCCCGTTACGCCTGCAGCGGCAAAAAACGGTCGTGCACCTCGTCCCTGCCGGTAATTCCGTTGGCTTCACGGTCAAATATGTCGGCCCGGTGTCGTCCATCATTTCTTACGTAGTAGACCGATTTCAGGACATGATGCAACGCTATGGGATCACCCCCCCGAGCGAGAAACTGGCTTATTTTACCCGAGAAACTGGCTTCTTTTACCTCTACAAACGAAAGACACATGACCAAGCAAAGCAAGATGGACGAAAATCATGTCCTGCGGAAGACGTTAGCGAGCACCGCCGGATAAACCACAAAAACAAATGAGAATATTCACGGTGAGAATAAACTCGCGGACTAACACTACACAACTTTTCTTGCACTCCTAAACAGGGTGAAGTGAAACTGTACACTGACTAAACGGGCCCATGAAATCGCCACCTCCTCTCTACCTCCCAAGCCCAATAAATTCACGGCCTTGAAGCCCAACAAGTGTACAGAGCACGAAAAGCCCATTGGTGCGCACTACAGCAGCATTGCCAAGCCAAAGGCGCCGGTCCGCCAACACGGAGAGATTCGTCATCGGGAGTTAATTTCGCTTGCCTGTGCGTCCGCGGGTTCGTAATCGATGGAGCCGCCGTTCTCGATCTCCATGGACGCAAGGTCCGCGCTGTAGAGGCTCTTGGCGCTCTCGCGGCCGGTGACGGTCATGTTGCCCTGCCGAACCAAGAACAAAAACCCAGGATCAAGATTGGATGACTGCATCGCTCGGTTGGAAGGAAGTTGTGACGTGGAAACTTCCAACGTGTGGGAGGGGGAGAACAAAAACAATTGTCGGACCACCGTCTCCCAAGACATCGAAATCAACACCATCCAAAAGAGCGCAAACAACAGCCAGCAACAACAGACGAGTGATGATCGTTCCAAAAACCATGCGCAGGGCCATATCTAACTTCTTCATGACGAAAATCCACAGACGCAAACCGTGCGACCAACGTGAATCCCTCTATATACTGCTGTACCTTGTACAGCGCAACCTCCACCGCTCCCTCCACGTCCCTTTGGCTGAAGTCGATGGCGTGCTTGACGAGCTCCATCTCAGGGGCGTACCTGTGACCATCACCGGAAAAAAAAACGTTCACAAGGGTGTAATCGTTACACGGGACTGTAGGGTATGGTAAAAAGTACTACGGTCTTCAAACGCAAAGCAGAGGCCTCTCAACGCAAAGCCGCTACGGCGTCGGAGGCTTGGGCGATGACAAATGAAACGCCCTGTCGTGCGCCAAAAATACTGACTGCTTAGTAGGTTGCGACCCATCAGTGATAACTCCTGTGTAACACAAACTTCACCACACATTGGAAAACAGCTTCATGCCTCCTGCGGTACTCGTACGTGTGCGTACGCTGAAAAGCTCCAGCTCGCGCAGTTTTTTTTCGGCTGCACTCACAAACGCATCAAACAGTTTGTATTAAACGCCAATCATGCTGCATTTTATTGTGTCCATAACTTGAGGGTCTCTCAATAGAGCAGTGACAATCTTGATTGCCCGCACCGCCTAACCAGTCCGAAGTGTAATCGGGGTGATCAACTTACATGCTTCTACTACTGATACTAATGGGTTCTAGGATGGTCGCCAAACCCATGCAAAAAAAAGGATTTTCACCGCACTTTGTCAGTTCCCTCCAGGTAACATTCGGGACCGCACTAATGGGAACCTAAGTGCCGTGCTGTCTGTACAGTTCGTTTTACTCTTGTGTGTTCCCGCAAACAGACCGCGAAACATCGGGAAGCTGGTTCCCATCACAGACAAACACCGATACCCCAGCGAATTCGACAAGCCAACACAAACACACATGATCACTCACCAGAAGCCGTTGTAGCAAAGGCGAGCAAACTCTTCGCTCAGCTGGTCGCGGATGCGAACAACCTGGGGTTACCACCGCCGCCGCCGCCACCACCACCGATGGTTTAATCCACATCCCATGCCATGGCGAGGAACGACAAGACAGCAACAGACACATCGTAACAGGTTGCGGTGAGTTGCTGGTCTTGTCGGCCGACGGTACGGACTTGGAGATTCTTCCGTGAGCCAAAACGAAAAAGTAGAAGGGAAAAACGACCGGCGAGCCAAAGTACAAATGTTTTTTTTTTCAAGAAAGAGAAAAATACACCGGTGCACGCAGCAAGAGGCTCGCGGTATCTCTCACTACAACTTTGCATAGTCTGCTTTATCACGACGAGTACGGGCGGGACTTACTGCATAGCGTAGAACACGACGCATGTTGGACTGCTGTGGGAGTGCTAATTAACTGTTGACCTAAACCTCGTCGTATTAGAATAAAATAATAACAGCATTTGGGCAGCATGGCAGCTGTGGCAGGATAGCATAACGCGACCATATGCTTCAAGCTCGCAAGGGAACACGTCATGTTGGAAGACGACTGTCGACGGGCTACGGGGCATCTCCAACGGCGACAAAACGTCGCCAATCGAAAACAACAAAACGCCACACAAAAGGGTGTGACATTTCACGAGTCCCGACGGTAATTAAGCCTTCCAAGGTTGCTTTACTCTAGCACTGCCATGGCAGCACCCCAGCCAAAAAAAGTCCCACACAACAACATAAAAAGCTCACGGGCGTGTTCGATAAAGAACAGCGCCCGGAGCTCTCATTATTGCCCCCCGACTCCAAAGTCGTGGCGAAAAACGCCCCAACAACGGCAACACGGGGGAATGGGGGACTGGGGTGCGAGGAAACCACGGCTGTGCAATGTATGCGGTATTTCTTCATGTAATTGCATGGACAGGGAAAGCCAGTCCCTTGGGCCATCCAACAACAGAAGAGCTGAAATTCAACTACATGACCCTCCACCGCAAGCCAAAAATTGCCGCGCTTTGATATGGAGTCGCTCAACACTCAAAGCGAAACGGGGCGAAGAGAGGGAGAGAACGAGAGGCGTAGCATAGTTATACCAACCAACGGGCAGCTCCCTCCCTCCCCTATTACCCGAGAAGGTAGCTTCTCATTGTGCAGATACGACATTCACGAAACAAGACCGTCGTCAAGGGCTAACGTTGCTCTTGCCGAGGCACAAGAGCCACAGTCGCCCATCACACGAAAAAAAGACACGACAAAACAGTTAGGTACACCCCTTCCATCTCAAAATGGAGATTCACGTTCCACTTTCCGCCACCCCTTGCCTGAATCGTCGGAGCTGGTGTATGCAGCAGCATCGGTGCGCAAGCGGTAAGGAGGAAGACACTTAACAGCAGTCTCTCGTCAGTCACACGCATCCCTTACAACCAACACAACACCAACGCCGAACCTCTTTCGTTTCGGCACGACCGACGGCAGTCCCTCACCACCCCAAAACCTACCCAACAAAGAGAGCAACACCATGCCTCCCGTCGGCGCCCAGCAGCAGTCCAGTGACACTCAAAAACCAACAAGGTGAGCAGCACCACGCCCATTTCTCCAGCCGAGATACGACAAGCAGTTACCGGGGGTGACGCAATATAACACACCCTCGGGACCGATTTTCAGAGCTCTTGTAGATTACTCCACGACGAAGACCATGTACGATCCAAACGATACGTGATCGGAAACTGTTCAATACGAAGGTTCCAACGCCGACATTGGCTGCATCGCCGCTCTCTCTGCTGTGGAGAAACGGACCTTTGAAAATCAGTCTAGGGGGTGAGATATCTTGAGTCACCTACGGTTTTCCTCGCCACACAACAGAACAAAGAACTAATCGGGAAGACTACACAACGACGAGAATATCACAGACCCACCTCCTTGTCAAGGCAAAGCCCCTCCAGGTCAAGGTGGACTTCTCGGAGAAGAGTCCCCGCGGGAGTCTCGTAGATCCCTCGAGACTTGATCCCCACAAACCTGAAACAAGAGAAAAAAAAAGGGTAAAAAGACCGGCAGGCTGAGATGTCGAATCGTCCTTTCGGGTACCCGGGAGCAGGCGTGTTATTACAATACAGTACCGCAGGCGAACAGTAGTGGCAGACGGGTACCTGTCTGTGGACCATCAACGCGGAATGTTCGAAAGGGGGTCTGTTTAGCTCCGGCATGGGACAGATCAGAACCGTCATAGATTGCGGATATGCCGTATTGCCACGGCCCATAGCTTGTTCCAGGTCAGGTCTGGCTACATAGGCGACGACGGTTGCACACCCAAAGGTCGTGTTCTCTGGTGTCTTGAACATACGTCTTTGGCGATGCAACATGTACCATACATCGTGGTGAAGGTCGTCCAGGGTGGCCTTCTCCCTCCAAACATGATTCTGGTATGGGACCCTGCATTTCTGCGCGAGCTGCAAATGCCTGTCACTCCATCACTATTGAGCTAACATATGCAACGGTAAATCTAAGTACGCGCGTAAGCTTTGGACGTGACTACTTATCACCGAGCAAGAATTCGCTCGGTCTCTCACCGGTTTTCTACGATGTCGATGCGGCCGATGCCGTTTCGGCCCGCAACCTCGTTCAGGTAGCAGAACAGCTCCAACGGCTTCTCCTTTACGGTGCCGTCGGTCTTGTTCGTCACCTATGTATACGTACAAAAAGAAACACAACCCTTCAATGACTATCCCGATAATTCACGTCGCCTTTCCTCACACCAAGAGGACGAGGAGACCGGTCAACGCTACGCCCTTCCGCACATGTCATGCACGCAACCCAAGAAATCGAAATTTGAAGCCGTCAAAGAACGAAGCGACTCCCCTCCTACATCCTCGATAAAGGATTGTGATTCCGCACCGAGCTCCGGTCTTCTATGCTCCGTCCACAGGCCTTGTCGCATGTACGGGAAACTGATACATGCATCGTACCCGGTGGCGTCCTGGTACTGCGCTCTACACTTCCGCCGAAAGACCGAAGTTTGTCAAGTTCTTGTGTTCACCTTGACGGGGATTCCCTTCGCGAACTCGATCCTGAGAGATTCGACCTTGTCCGGTGCCTGCAAAACAGTAATAGCAGATGGATACAAACAACGACAGAACCACCATCTATCAACAGCAACAACAAAGACGACTGCTGTATAACGAAATTCACAGGAGCATTGAGTCAGATGGTGTTGGCGCTCGCTCGAGGCGCAGGCTTGAAACCATGAGAAAACGGGTTGACAACTCTTCAACGATCTGCCTGTTCTGGAGTGGCGTGCGCAAGTTGGTTCGATTGATGCAGGCCGACCCACATCTAGATGCACCGTGACAACGACTACGGCGTGGTTCGGCGACGCAAGCGTACAGCTACAGAGGATCGACTTCGTTTGACTTGGTTGAAAAGCTCAACTTGCAAGCCGTCAGCGAATATACTGCACATCTCATGGTATGTCCTACGTTACACGTCCATCATTCCGTGAACATACAGCATGACCAAGGTCCAGACTGCATGGCTCAACCCGACATCATCTACCAACACGAAACGACAAACAATTACCGTACCTTGAGGGGGTCGACAGTCATCTTGAACATCTCCGGCGGGGGGGCGGTCATGGGGTCCTCCAGGATGCCGCTCTCGTACGAAGTGTGGTACAAGTTCTCGTCGATAGAGTACGACGCCTGTCGAAACCGACGTATCAATTGTTTACAACGTCGTTTTTCACGGGCGGAGAGGGCACCGGAAAGAGAGGGACGAGAGGAGCAAGGGGGGGTAGGCGTGAGGGAGACGTCATACTTGTGCCCCAACACAGCGGACTTTTCACTACATCGTATACATGCGAGACGCCACGTGCGTGGGCTATCACGTATGGGTTTGTGATCTAATCTAACCCGCTTGCGCGGTAAGAAAATCGAAGCAGAAGGAAAATTTCGCGCTCAGCGCGCAAGCAACAGCAACAGCAGTCGGCGACTAGCCGCTGTTGATGTACTGCTGTAGCTCTTGTTGCAACGCCGGCTTCAAGTCAGCACAAGGAAGGATGTTCACACGACACGGCCTCGAAACCACAATGAGCGCAGCCGATACCTTACCAAACACACGAGCGTGCACCGCGAGTCTCAGAGCTAGGCTATCAGACTTTTTTCTCCTTCTCCCTCGCTTATACACCCCTAAAAGCATTCTCATGGCGCCCCTCTTCCCTCTTCTTCCGCCCGAAGTATCAAGAACGACCGAAAGGCAGCGCACCTTGGGGGTAGACGAAACCGGGATGCCCTGCTCCGTGGCGTAGGCCAGGAGGTCCCCGCGGCCCTGCAGATAGAAACGACAAAAAGTTCCACAATGAAACCGATAGAGTATATGTACAACCAAAGCAAACGAGCAAACTACCGATAGCGCTATAATACAAGCACACAGCTTTGCAGAAGCAATATCGTCGAAAATACGTGGGTGAAGGGAAAAAAGATGTATATCATCATCACGCACACAGGTAAACGACCGTCCGAAAAAGAGGACAAGTCGCGCAATTCAGGAGTCAGTAGTTGGGGGTCGAGGGCACGAGGTTAGCACATTTTTCCCCAAAAATGCCGAGTGAAACATCTTTAGGGAGCCAGTCGAGGTCGAGCGTGATACGGCCAAGCTGGTTCCAGTTCTTTCTTACACGATATATGAAACCACAACAAGGCATTTGCAGGGAGGGATCGCTGATCTTGTGTCCTACGTCCAAAGAACAAGAAAGTGTCTACCGAATGCGCACTAGCACTATCAATTTTCAACAACGATGTAACGTAGATGGCCTTCCATCGCCTCTATGGCCAGCCGAACACCAAACTGTCAGCAAAACAGCGGTAGCAACAATTTGCAACGAGGCGGGTACCTTGAATTTCTCGAGGAACTCGGCATCCCTCCACGGAGCGATGGTTGTGATCTTAGAGTCGAGCGCCTGCGCGCACATCTCGAAGCGAACCTGAAAGATCCACCATGATCGCGGATATTGCGAATCAACGTGAGAGAGTTAAGAGATAAAGACAGCAGCAAAGATGGGGTGACGGGCCAGAATGCTTGAAATAGGCTCTGCGGGATTCTTGCGCTGACTAGGCTGTTGTCACAGTCCCCAAACGATGCGCATCATCCGCGATACTCGGTACAACTGCAACAGTAGGAGGGCGCCCCACGACGAGCATGTCCCCGACCATACGGCCAAAGCAACAACCACACGGCCTGGCAAGAGCCCCTTGCTAACAGCAAGGAGGTCCGATCAGGGGACCGCTGTCACCGTTACCGAACTACTTGCGCTTGAAACTCTTGTTGATGCGTTCCTTGTGCTGGTGGCGGTTTCGTTTTTCGCGACTAGTCGCCGTAAGCAGCACACCTCAATTGCAACTATTATAATATTAACACACAAAACACGCACACGCAACTGCTCACGTCTCCAATTCTCCAATGAACCTACAACGACCAGCACGTCTCTTCCTCGCGACTGCTCCATGTCTCCAATGAACCTTGAACGGTAACGACCAGCACGCCTCTTCCCCGCGACTGCCGTATCTCCCCAATGAAAACCCTCAACAAATAACGACCAGCATGTCTCTTCCGTCACTTGCCTGATCGTTACCCTTGCCGGTGGCCCCGTGAGACACGTACTTGGCCCCCTCCTTCTGCGCGATCTCCACCTGGCGCTTGGCGATCACCGGTCGCGCCAGGCTGTTCGGTTGCAGCGGATCGACGGCGACGACGTGAGCAAGCACGTGAGAAAACAAGTTGGAAGCCGCCAAAACGGGCAAAAGAGTACGTACAAGTATACCGACTAACAGGCCCACAAAATCGACACGAACACCGGGATCCGCGGCGGCTCACCTCGTTCCCAGGAGGTAGCGGCCCTCGTACTGGGCGTTGGCCTTGACGGCCTCGAACACGAAGTCTGTCACGAACTCCTCGCAGAGGTCCTCGATGTACACCTTGGACGCCCCGCAGTCCTTGGCCTTCTTGGTGATGGCGTCGTAGTCCTCTCCCTGCTGCCCGACATTGGCGCAGTAGCTGATGGGACGACGGTGATCGGGGTTGGGGGACAGGACAGTTAATGTGGCGGTATCAAAATTAATGTGGTGGCGTTGATACGCATACCATTCATGTAGTTGGAGATGGTCGCAAGCAGCAACGTGGAAAGAGCAATCAAGCATATGTAAAGTACTGCATTGAAGTTTCCCCACCAGCAGTTAAGTAAGTGGAATAAATTATACGTGCAAGACTCTAAAATTGTTGTATCATTGCCCTGTTCATGTGGGCTAAGGCGGCGATACGACCCAAGAAGCGTACATTTCGTAAAATCAAGACACGTCCCGGAAAGAGCAGCCGGAAACCAACCGCCTTGTGTGCTCTTGTACACTGTAAGGGGCGAGAAACTGGTGAAGTGTATGTACCGAACACATACAGCAGTGTACCAAACACGCGTCCCAAAGGTCCCCACCGAAACCAAGGTCATCCCGTTTTGGATGAGGACATGGACAAGGTCTGGTGCACACCTTTAGTAAGGCTTACGGCCCCGCACCAGCGAGGGCGGCCCGATAGATTCCAAGAGGAACCAGCAGAGAGAAGATTGAACCGCCGGTACTTATAAGTGTACCTCGATTGTATCTGCAGCAGTTCAAAAACCTTACACGAAAATAAAGTAGTTGTTTGGCGTAAAGCAGTAGTGTAAGGGAAGATGACTCACCAGATGACCTCGAAGCCCTGGCCGGAGAGCCACTTGAGGATGACAGACGTGTCCAGTCCTCCCGAATAAGCAAGGACAACCTGTTCAGTATCATGGCAACGGCAATCCGCATGGTCACCGCAGTATATTTAGGGCACGCGACGCGTGTTATGCAGATAGATGGGCAAATGGCAGTTGTTCAATGGTGCTTGTGCATCACTGCGCGCGTTAGCCATCAACACTTGGATGTTGCTCTTCGCAAGTGCTCGTGCTTTGCTCTTGAGTCCTCTTGCGAGAGCAATCGCGTTACTGCCGCGATCATGGTTGTGGGCCTACGATAGTGTCCACGCACGCCAGTATCAGCGATGCACAGCGGCCGAACGGCGCGAGCGCTACCCTATATTGTAGTGAATCGGAACTTTAACTTTCGCCTCCGGATCGCCCACCATCGGCGGCCACCAAAAATGAGCAACAGTAATATTGGCGAGTATCTACTGGAATTCCGAGGTCGGAAACAGAGCAGACAAAAGCGCACGATGCCAAAGCACCGTCTCATGGTGGGCCAATCAGAGTAATAGCTGGTCAAGCAGGCGCGGCCACGACCGTAGTTGATCGGTGCCGGGTGCAGTTGAAGCCGAGGTAGAGGTATGAGTACAGATGCGGTGTGCGGTGGAAAAGCGAGGTGCGTGATTTGGCACTTCGGCTGACGACGACAGGAGGAGAAAACGATGAGAACGGACACACATCCATGCTCGCAAGCAACTCTCAGACACAAGGCGACGAGGTCACCACCGTTGTTGCGCCATCGTCGACTGCTCACAGGGTTAGCAGCCGCATGCCTGCCGGAGAACTAAGCAAAGCACCCTGCTGCAAGAAAGAAGTGCAGGAGCAGCGGTTGCATGTTCAACCTTCGACGTATCCGGTCGTGCATCGCCATCCGACTGACCTTCTCCCCCACAAAGGTCTTCTTCGCCTTCTTCGCCGCGGGAGAGGACATTGTTTCCGACGTGTTTTGCTGTGAAAACCGCTGCTGCTGACTTCTGTGGTGCGCCGATCTGCAATGGCAGAGCAGCCAAGCAAACACCAGGGGTCCCCGCGAACTGGATAATTCGCACATGAGGGTGTGATGGGTGACCGACAGCCAGCCGCCACCTGCACCGACGCCCAGCTTGAGGAGCACTTGCAAGCAGGCGGACGACGCAATAGCAACGGAGAGGGACCCATCTCGCGGCCAGTGCTATAAGAAGCCCATACGAAGATGGTGAGGTTCTCGACAATCCATGAAACCCCTTCCACGATTGTTCAGCCGAGAGGGCATCAGCAGCGCCTATTAACCGCGGTGTGTGTGTTTGTAGCGGACCCTCTTCCTCTGTTCGGAATTGGAACGCGTGCTCGCTGTTTGGCCAGGTTCTGTCCCCAAACACACAGCACACGGTCCCGGCCACTCGGCGTCTGTAGCGAAGGCGAGAGAGCCGCAACGCGTGCTGTCTGCCTCGTCGCTGTGAAATTGTCGAAACTGCCCCATGATGAGTGCAATAACCGTTGTTGCGCTCGTCGTTCCAACTGAACGTTCCAGGGTCCAACAACAACTCACTTTTCCGACCTCTCCAACACAGCAGTTGCATACATACAGCATCGCTCGGTTGAGGGCAAAAACGCCACGCAACCCCCCCGTGTCGTAGTTGTAGACACGCTCGCCGACAGCATGCCGACAGGCCGGGCGTGCGTTGGTTGCTGCCCCCTCGATGGAACGAAAGTCGGGGTAATTTTGTGTGTTTCACGAACGAGACGCATCACTGACCGTGAGAAGGCGGCCCTGGTTCTATGCCTACGGTTTTCACACGCGCTCGCCGAATAACTACCCTCTCGCGTGCTGCATAACCATTTCCCGACACGCACACCAACAAATCGACCTGTCATGGGCAGACAGCGTAGCGGCAAGTCAACCCGCACACCCACGCCGTGATGGAATATTGCTGCGCGTACCTTTCCTCTTTTGCGCCTTGACTTCTGCAGGCCCCCCTTCAAATTCTCAAAACCCCGTCACGAGCACGTGAGGTACTACTGGTTACTGTTGTAGACGGCACACGACGATCACGCACTCCTGTCGTCGTCTGCCCAAACTTCGTTTCCTATTTGTTTGAGTTGAGGCTCCCGGGATGCGAGGCTGCAGAAAGCATCACCAACCTAAATGTGTTCGACATACGACCACGCCGACCATTCAGATTTTTTTTTCCACCCTCCCCCCCCCCCGACCCCGGTCAACAGGCGCGCAAAAGCAAGAGCGGCCGGAGTGGTACCAGCGACACTCGATCAAACGCCTCTGGCCGATCGCGACGGTCGTCTAGATCCCGCACGTCGAGGGCGTCGACGTCGCGAAGACCCGTTCAGCCGATGGAGCTTGTGAGCACCGGCGGCGGCGGCGCGGGGGGGGGCGAGGGCGGAGACCTGCCCTCTCAGAAGTGGCACTCCGCGGTCTGCTGTGCGGGGGGTATCAAGTCTTGTGAGTGCCGTGGCGGTATGCTCTCATCATCGATGCCAGCTCTAGTTCGTAGCAGAAGGAGCCAAAGACCGAGTGCAAGCACTTGAAAGAGTACATGGGCCTACTACAACGGAAGCATAGTGCACCCAACGCAGCAAGGTTGGATGCATCAAGGTTGGATGCAAGGTTGGATGCATGCGGCTCAATTACGTTCGTGCCTGAATAGGGTCACGGGATACATGAAAGTCGTGCAATATTCTGTTGGTTGCTGCTGCTGCTGGTGTTGGTGTGGGTAGTCTTTGCACTACACAGACCCACTTTTTTTACACGACTCACTCCACCATAAGGCAAAACGGCAAAACGCCCCCCATGGCCATCACCCCCCCCCCTTTCCTATTATACCATCTTCGCGTTCATACCGCCCTGACATCGTTCCTCTTGTCCACGTCCCCCGCCCCCCCCGCCCCCCGGCCGCTTTGGAATGATGCCCATGACGTATGTTGTAGTGTACGGTCTGTGCGTCCCTTGCGGGTTGGCGACGGCGAGGCATCGGCTGGACGGGTCCTCGTGGTGCGTGAACGCCATGTGCCTGAGCCCCTGTGCGGCGAGGAACATCGTGCGCCACGGCTACGGCATCAAGGTACGGCGGGAGACGGCTGCGTAGCGTATCCTCGCTTCGTTTCAGGCATGTGTACTATTTCCTATGGCGTTTCGTCTTGAGGAGAGGCAAGGAAAGCGTGTTTCTACCGGGGTTGATGAGTTTGTGAACACCCCCTCCCCTCCCCTCCCCTGCCAACGTGTGAAGGCTCGCTTGCGTGCCCCCAGCACACGCCAGGTTCATCAGAAGGATATTTTAGGGGTCGATTGTTTGCATTTTTTTCGGCGTGTCGCGAGCCCAACTCCCGTTTTTTGTCAGGAAATGTTGGGGACAGTACTATATGTACAAGTTTCAAGGTCGACAGGGGATTTCGGTGCCTCACGTTTGCCCGGCAATCGCAACCGATTGAGAAACAGTGTATTTGCGAATACTCTGCGAATACAAATCGCGCCGCAAGTTGAACACTCGAGAGTTTTCGTGAATCGGGGTAATTCCTTGGAAGCGCTGTTGCTAGGTAGGTGGTACGCTACGCCACGCTGCTGCTATTGACCTGGAAACGGTTTACTCTTGGTACCCATCCGAAGTCAGTCTGGCGCATCGACTTCAAGATCCACACCTACCCTTCACATCACCATCGCTCAATTGAAATCCAACCTTTTTATCGAACCATCTGGACCAGGGGCACTGCTGCGCGGATATTTTGTGCAGCTTGGTGTGCGCGCCGTGCGTGACGTGCCAGCTGCTGGGGGAGACGGAGAAGAGGGGGTGCGTCTACGACTCGTGGAACGACCAGTCGGCGAGGTCGCGGCGCGAGCAGCCCTGGAAGTTCGGGCTGTTCAACTGCCTGGACGACTGCACCACCTGTGAGTTGTTCAGCCGTCTTGGAAAATTGTGCACATTGTCGAAAGAGAGGTCGAGATATGTAGTACCCCGTTCGAAGGTTGTGTTGATTTCATTACAGGAGGATTAAGGGACACCTTCTTGATACTCCAACTCAATAGGGAAAGCATATTTACGGAGAAAGCATTGATGCCAGGCGGAACAAATCGCCTACAGAGGGGCACAAATGTAGATATTGTTTTAACGTTTGTCGCGTTGAATGAGATTTTCCCGTTATTCTCGTAAGGTGCACTCGTGAGTAGTACCGTTGACTTGCTGCCGTTGGTTTGGGCCCGTTGCTCTTCTCCTTTCCTACATAGTTCGCCTAGCATCGTTAGGAAGATGGACCGAATGTCTTGTGCCTACAAAATTGTAGTACGAGGGACTCCACCGGACGCCCGCAAATCTTAAAAAGGAGTGCTGACGGCAGCAGAAACGAGCAAGTTCGCTTGAAGTTTCGCACATAGGCTCGACCTTCACGTCCGTGTGCATGTCAGTCGCCTGGTTCCCGAACGAAGGCTGTGACGCTAACGGGGGTCCTGACAGTCCTGTGTTTCCACGCTAAATTGTGGTCCTGACAGTCCAGTGTTTTGTATCGGCCCGCCCCGGTCCCCTCCCGTTTGCGGTGCCTTCCTGGCCAGCGAAAACCCGATGTCGTGTGACTCTGTGGGGAGGGAGTCCGTAGCTAACGACGGCCAACCGTGCATGACAAGAACTTGTCGCACCGAACCCACCGCGGCGCATTTTTTGTTTCTGCGTCCGTTTTCCGTGTGTGTCCAGGCTCGTACGGTTTCTTCTGCCCGATGCCTGCCGTCGGAACGATCCGCACTCAGATGGACGACTCGGACTGGATCTTCAACTGCCTGTGCATCAACCCCTTCATCGCCAGGAGCCTCGTCCGCCAGAGCTACAACATCGAGGTCCGTTCATTCGCGCCGGTTGGGTTTGTTAGTTTGTCGTGTCCCTCGGCTTGGTACTTGTAAAGTATGGCGTTGTATGCATCGGTGGTTCTATCTACCTTTTTCCCTGCTAAATAGGTATTCCACCTGTGCTCCCAACTTATTTCCGAATGCATGTGCCGTCTCGTTTCTTGTGGGTGTCGAGTTCAATTTTACCGAAACACCTTCGGTGTATTGTCCGGGCGCATCAGCCTGTGTCTCACCATGAGGATGGAAAGACACCGGAGTTTTCTTTGTAGGTGACGTATCTGTGTTCATTCTTGCGCACTTGCCTTTTTTTTTTTTGTCTTCACTTCAAATCAGCGCTCACAGCGCTAGTGCCGTTTACTCCAACCCGTGGTCACACTTGCGATGCGCTGCTGTAATCTGGCTTAAAACTAACCTCGTGTCCTTTCCACACACCCCCCTCCCCTTTTTCTTCGCCCCGTGTTGTTCTTGTCCTCGTGCGCTTCTTCTCAATCGGCTCCAACCAAAATCCCTCTCCCTTTTCGCTACCGCGGCGCGGCTCTCACCAGGGGACGGACAGCGCGGACTGCTTGCTCACGTGCTGCTGCTTCCCGTGCTCCATCACCCAGATGCTCAACGAGACGCAGCACCGGGGAAACGTCACCGGCTGTCCCGGCTTCAACGCGGTCGAACGTTAACTGATGTCGGTGTCGTTGTCGATTTTGGCGCCCTGGGCCCACTTGGGAGGGGGGGTCCGCAGACAGCACCAAGTTTCGGGTGCGGGGGGGGGGGGGGGGGGGCGAAGCAAGCGTTTTATTCTGTCGGAGTGACCCCCGATGTTGATGATGATGATGATGCGGGGAGGGTTGTGGGTGCTTGAGCAAATGCTAAAAAACTTCTGGATCTTTCGCCCAGGCGTGTCAACGTTGACATTTTTGCACTCCTTTGCAGGGTATCTTTCGGTTTTTGTAGAAGGGGGGGGGGGGGGCGCAGCAGCACTACGATATGCCAGTACCCTGGCTCTTCCTTGTTTTTTTGAGTACTTTTTATTCCACGCTGCTACATTTGACTGGAGTAGTAAAGACTTGCTTTTTATATGGTATATTTCGCCCCCGCGCTTACCTTGCGCGCGCGTGTGGTGTGTATGCTTGCTTGTGGATTCTCCTGCTGTTATTCTGTAGCTTGTGTCGTCTGGTGCTGTGTTTGGCACTTTAGCGGTGGGGCTGGCTCCACCTGAGGTACGCTCTTTCCGCACGCTGGACAGCAGCCGCAAGCGCGGTATACCTTTCCGTGTCCTGTGGATCAAAGGCGTATCGAAAGAAGAGGTGACCGGTTATCTGTTGTGTGTGCGTGCGGCCGGCGAGTCGGTGGTATTTGCGGCCTGCTCTTTTAGCTGTGGGGGGCACGGGTTCGGAGCGCGCGTGAAGGAAAGAGTACGGGAAAGATGAGGAAAGTGCAGACGCCCTGCGGCGTTGACAAAGAGCGCCCAGGGAACTGCGCTTGTCCCCGTGTATGGTATTCACGTTTTGAGGGTAAATTATGTCGGTCGAATTGGCGAGCTGCCAAAGTGGCGTGTTGCGCTCCAAAGGTTTTTGTCGCTGCCCCTTCGGGCCTCCTGTTGAGCGACTTTCATTTTTTTTGTTTTGCTTGTGCTTGTACCGTAGGGGCGCGGCGGTGCCAGATAGATTCATTACGCGAGTTACAGTACATGCATGTCTTTCTTTAGTTGGAGGAGTGCCCCATGTATTTTCATAATTTTTACGGCCGCTCGCGTTAGCGGTATCTAGTAGGTGAAGGGAAAGCAAAAAAGCGCATGTTTCCAAATGATGAAACTAACAACAAGGAAGGATCTTGCGATCACGTGGACGCAAGGACGAGGCACAGTTTTTCGCACTATGTTTCGTAGTGTGACATCCTGGTCGTGGCTGCTTTCTGCTTCCTTTCCATAGGCCGAAAAGGCCCGTCAATGACTGGTGGATGATCTTGAATAAGACTGCGTGGCGAACGAGTGACCGCCGTGCTGCGACGTTTCAACCACGCCCCATTGAATAGGGCGCGAAATGATGAGCAGTAGGGTGAGGTTTCCCCGAAAGATGACGAGATGAGCAAACGTTGGCGTTCCGTCGGAAGTTCAACCTTTGTTACACGTGCCACAAGCAGCGATTTTTTCCTAACCACCAGTGTTTATTTAGCCCGTCGATGAGCTTGAGAAAAAATAAGACGAAATCAGTCAACAAACGAGCATGCCTCTTCAAGTGGGCCGCTCATCGTTTGTGGCTTGCGTTGGCCTGTGGATGGATCAACTGAGACAGATGGTAAGATCGTTACCACGCCGCTGGACTTGTGTTCGCCGTCACACTAATTGATGTCGAAAACTGTTACGCTGAAAAGGAAAAAGAAGCAACCACCACGCGGCCGGCATGTCCGCAGCCTGTCGCGTCCCCTCCTACGTACAGTGCCTCTTGAGCTCCACGACTGGAAAATGACGCGCTTGAACCTCAAAGAAACAAAAACAAATGTTTGTACGTCCAAGTTTGATTGTTGAAAGCAAGCCAACGAATGTCGTCAGAGTTGCTTTTGTAGTCCCCAAGCTGTTTTCGCTTTTTATCGGTTCAGGCTGTACAGAGAACGGAAGCGGAGGGAGGGACTCCTCATGCACGCAAGACGGCGAGACACGACAGGCACAAAAACGCAAGAAACCAAGAAAGAAATGGTCTACGTCTACTTATTCGGAGAAGTCACTTCACTGTGGTGGACACCAACAAAATATCAGCCGATCTATTCGTTCAAGCTTGGGGGTACAGAGTAGCTGACCCGGACGAAGGAGCGCGGGGCTGCGGATAATCCCCCGGTGCGGTTGTTCGCCGGATGGTCGGCGGCCAGTGAATCACAGCACGATTTGGTTTGTCAGACGAAAACAAACGGGAACCGAAAGATTTCGCGATGGCCGCAAAGGGGGTGTCGTGGCAGAATTTGGCAACGCAGCAGCAGTGTAACACGTCGTCGCGCCTTTGCATATTACTTAACCTATCGACTCCCCTCTTCATTGCATCCGTGGGCTTAATTAACAGCAACAACCTGCTCGGCTTCCTACGTGTTCAGTGCCAGAGAGTGTGGAGCGCGAAAAAGGATACTTTAGTGCCGAAGGATCTACGTGCCCCGTACCTACGTGGGGAGCAACACTTGAAGCGAAAGCATCTCGTTGGAAGACAAAGAGCCACATTCTTCCATTTTCCCTTGCCACCACAACGCGCACTTATATAAAAAAAAAAACGTTGGCATGACTGAAATATAGCATGATCCATGACAGCAAATCAACCAGACACCTCTCTTTGAC